TTAAAATCATGAAATTTGCACAACAAGCTGAACATGGTCGTGGCGTGCGCACCGTGTGCCGCCTACGGCGTTAAGCCGCTTCTCGACCAAACATGCTTTTCCTTCAGCAACTGATACACAAACAATCAAAAAATAATATTTACTAAACAACCTAACATGAAGTGCTCGAAGGTCTATACTTAACACGTTCGATCAACCAAGCGCGGCCCGTGGTACGCACTACGTGCGCGACCACGCCCCTCGGCCGACTCAATGAATAAACATGAAAATTCTTGCACATAAGCTTAACTGAACATGATATAACGTAAAAAGACTGATTACATGACAATAACTCGAGAGATTTCAAATCAAAACATGAACATGACTTTACATGGACTATACGCACGGCCGAACGGCTTAAAGCCGTTTCATGAACATGACTAAATCAACTCGGAACTAACATGACTTTAACATGAATAACCCAAGGTAAACCGAAGTTACCTCTCGCTTGCTCGCCTAATTGCACAACGCTCGATCACTCGGAGCTTCCGTGCATACTACACCGTGCGTGCGGCTCTTGTGCTTGCTTGCGTCTAGCTACTTACGTGCGTGTGTACTCTCTACTTGGGGAATTCTCACTTACTCTCTTAATCTCTATACTAGCATATATAAATAAGGATGAGGAAAGGAAAAATTCTCCCCAATGAGTTTTGTATATAGCAACCGAACAAGAAAAATGAGGAGGTGATGGCTTGACATTTAAATGCCACATGTAAACTAATGGAGACTTAAGAATGCTTACTAATCTCTTAGTGATATTAGTCATCATTTGTGCCCCAATTAGTAGCCACCTCATGCTCTAAGAAGGAAACTTCTCCCTTGAATTCCCACTAATTGCTCACGGAAATTATAAAAAAAAATTAGGCAACCATGTGACAAAATGCTACGGCATTTGTCCTCTAACTTGATTAAATTCTCAATTAATCATGATTAAGTGCTTAATTATCTAATTAAGCATAATACTTAATTACCAAAATTATTTCGAACACAAACGTGACTTTGAAAATAATTTCGGATAATCTCGACTGAAATAACTAATTCCGAAAAATAATACTCGACAATATTATTATATCAGAACTAAATACATAATTTCTACTATTAACTTGACGGGATATTACAATCCTCCCTCCTTAAAAATTTCTGTCCTCGAAAATTCAAAATGAAACTGAATATACATGAACTATATACACGAAACATGAAAATATGTATATCAGAACTGAAAATCGGAAAAACGAGCGCGAATGTCAGCCTCCGACTCCCAAGTAGCTTCGTGGCGATCCCACTGAATACGAACGAGGAGAACATCTCGCTTCCAGAGCCGATGAGCCTGACGGTCCAGTACAGCTACCGGTCGCTCCTCGTACGATAAGTCTGGCTGAATCTGAATATCTGTATGGGGAATGGCATGATCGGGATCACACACGTATTTACGCAACATGGATGCGTGAAAAACATTATGAATACCGGATGACTCGAGAGGTAAGGCTAATCGGTACGCGACTTCGCCCACTCGCTCGAGAACTTCGAACGGGCCAATTAATTGAGGGTGCAGCTTCCCTCTCTTCCCGAATCGAACAACTCCGCGAATCGGACGAACTCTGAGAAAGGCTGGCTCGCCAACCTCGAACTGAATGTCTCGTCGATGCTGATCGGCTAAGGATTTCTGTCGACTCTGAGCTATCTTGAGTCTCTGCTGGATCAACTCGACCTGATCTGCTGTCTCCTCGATCATCTTCGGACCGAGTACTCGTTGTTCTCCGATGTCGTCCCAATAAAGAGGGGAACGACACTTACGACCGTAAAGTGCCTCGTAAGGAGCCATCTGAATAGAAGAATGATAGTTGTTGTTGTACGCGAACTCAACGTACGGCAACAACGACTGCCACTTAGCACCCCTGTCAACAACCAAAGCGCGCAATATATCCTCTAGCATCTGAATAGTCCGCTCTGACTGACCATCAGTCTCCGGATGGTAGGCTGAACTGAACTCTAGCTTCGGGCCCATTGCCTCGTGTAAACTCTTCCAGAATCTACTGACGAATCTGGGATCTCTGTCTGATACGATAGTCACGGGCACTCTGTGGAGTCGAATGATCCCACGGGTATAAATATCAGCCAACTTATCCAAAGACATCTTCATCGAAACGGGTAAGAAATGAGCGACCTTAGTCAATCTGTCGACCACGACCCAAATCGCATCGTGATGTTCAGACGACCTCGGTAATCCCGTGACGAAATCCATCGTGTCTTCCTCCCACATCCACTTCGGAATCGGCAGTGGTTGTAGGAGGCCGATCGGACTCTTGTGTTCGGCTTTGACTTGCTGACAGGTAAAACATCTCCTAACAAACTCGGCAACGTCCTTCTTCATCCCTCGCCACCAAAACGACCCTTTCAGGTCATGATACATCTTCGTGTTTCCGGGATGGGCTAGATAGGGTACGGTATGAGCCTCTGTTAATATCTCCTTCCGCAACGCCTCGACTTTGGGCACCACGATCCTGCCTCTGAACTCCAAAGCACCATCGGCACCTCGCTGAAAACCCTCGACGCCTCCGGCACGGACTTTGGCATCCATGATACGAACAAACTCGTTAGAAGCCTGCTCCCGCCGGATTCTCTCTCTCAGCGTCGGCTGAATCTGCATGGCACTGACACTCCCCGAAATGGCTGTGGGAAGTGCATCCACCACCTGAATCTGCATCCGGGCAAACTTTTGAATCAACTGGCTCTGCTGAGTAACGACGTACGTCAAGTCACCCTTCACCTTGCGGCTTAGGGCGTCCGCGATGACGTTTGCCTTTCCCGGATGATACTGAATCGAGAAATCGTAATCCTTGACGAGCTCTAGCCAACGACGCTGTCTCATGTTAAGCTCCTTTTGAGTAAAAATGTACTGCAAGCTCTTATGATCGGTGAAAATCTCGCATCGACCGCCATAAAGATAATTTTGCCAAATCTTGGGAGCATGAACAACTGCGGCTAACTCCAAGTCGTGCATCGGATAGTTCTGTTCGTGTGGCTTGAGCTGACTTGAAGCATAGGCAACGACCTGGCCATCTTGCATGAGTACACATCCCAAACCTTGTTTCGAAGCATCACGTAAAATGGTGAAACTCCAAGAAAGATCGGGAATAGTCAACACCGGTGCTGAAGTTAATCTCTTCTTGAGCTCCTGGAAGCTCGACTCACAATGATCAGTCCACTCCAACTTCACAGACTTCCTCGTCAGTTGGGATAGTGGGAGGGCAATCTTGGAAAAGCCCTCGATGAACCTGAGGTAATAGCAAGCTAAACCGAGAAAACTGTGAACTTCGGACGGACTCTTCGGTGTCAATCAGTTCTGAACAGCTGAGACCTTGGAAGGATCTACCTCGATACCTGCCTGAGTAATAACATGACCCAGAAAAGCTACTCGCTGGAGCCAGAACTCGCATTTGGAGAATTTTGCATGCAACTTTTCTCGTCTGAGGGTTTCAAGAACAACCCGCAGATGCTCCTCGTGCTCCTTCTGGCTCTTTGAGTAGATAAGGATATCGTCAATGAAAACAATAACGAAATGATCGAGGTAGGGATGGAAAATACAGTTCATCAGGTCTATGAAAACCGCTGGAGCATTACTGAGGCTGAATGGCATGATGACAAACTCATAATGGCCGTAACGAGTACGGAACGCGGTCTTAGCAATATATGACTCCTTGATTTTCAGCTGGTGGTAGCCTGATCGTAAGTAAATCTTTGAGAAGACACATGCTCCCCTCAGCTGATCAAATAAATCTTCGATCCTGGGAAGCGGATACTTGTTCTTGATCGTCAACCGGTTAAGATCCCGGTAGTCGATACACATGCGCATGGAACCATCCTTTTTCTTGACAAAGAGAACGGGTGCTCCCCAAGGTGACACGCTCGGTCGGATGAAACCGAGTCGTAATAGCTCCTGAATCTGCGCCTTAAGCTCCTGCAACTCCTTCGGCGCCATACGATACGGGGCTTTGGATACTGGGCCGGCTCCTGGAATGAGATCGATAGAGAACTCCACCTGCTGGTTAGGCGGTCCTCCTGGAAGTTTGTCTGGGAACAAGTCCACAAACTCACGAACAACGGGAACGTCGTGAAGTGATCGTGCTTTCTGAGAATCATCGACAAGGCTCACGAGATAACCCTGACAGTTGCCTCGTCGTAGCATCTTAGTGGCTTTCACCATCGAAACAACATGAGGTAATGAACGATTCCTGGAGCCAAAGAAGGTAATCGAATCGTCTCCCGGAATATAAAGAGTAATCTCCCGGTCATGGCATCGAATGTCTGCATGATAATAAGATAGCCAATCCATTCCGAGAATGAGGTCAAAGTCCCTCATCTTGAGAACATATGCGTCGATAGACAATACTCGGCCACCGATGGAAAGGATGAGATCTGAAGCTTTAACTGTGGTCACTATCTTTCGTCCCCAGGCTAAACTCACCTCGAGAGGATCGACAGCGGTAATAGCATGAACACCGATGGCATCAAGACATCGTCGTGAAATAAAAGAGTGCGTCGCTCCAGTATCAAACAAGGCGAAAACAAGAACATTATTAAGCATGATCATCCCTGACATAGTACCTGGCTGCTGCTCGGCCTCGACCTGATCGACTGCGTAAACTCGGGCCTGCTGTCTGCCCCTCTGCTGCTGCTGGGGCGGCCTCTGAGCCTGC